CCACATAAGCAAAAAGAAAAAAGCTGGAAGTGGCGCTGTGGCTCAAGTGGTAGAGTGCTAGCCTTGAGCTGAAGAGCTGAGGGACAGTGCCCAGGCGCAGAGTTCAGGCCCCACGACTGGACCCCCCAAAAAAAAAACCCCACCAAACTCTGGCTATTTATTTTTTCCCTATTGATTGTGTGGCTGATAACAAGCAAGCTGTGTCCTCTTCCTTTGTCTTTTGATTGTCTATCCCAATAACTTGAGATTCCCTTCTTCCTCCATTTTGTATCCCTTCTGAGTGTACTGTCATGATTATCTGATGTATGATAATTACTAACAAAATATAATGAACTTTTATGAATATGGAGAATGGTAAGATGCTGATGAGCACTGACTTGCCTTTATCAGGTGCTATTAACATTTATGTGTCTCACAGGTGATTTTGACCTTGCTGACTCTGAGGAGAAACCCAATGGATCTATTCAAGTGCAACTGGACTGGACCACTCATTACCAACCCCCTGAGGACTACCTGACAGCAGAAGCTGAGATGGAGGAGAATGACAGCAAGGACAACTCAGACAACTCATCTACAGAGGAAAAGTCTGCTTTTATCCCCCAGGTAGCAGACCTCTTCTAATCCTATGGTGCAGGTTTAGAGAGGACAGTATAAAAAGTGGCAAGATTTTCTATGAATGCCATGTGTACTGAAAATTGATCTGAGTTTTACTGTGGAGAAAAGAGTGCCTCTCAGGTCTTGGAAGGAGAAAGAAATGAAAACTAATGCTAGATCATAGGTCCCTGAGGACCTTTTTTTATGTTTTTTGTTTTTGGTGGTGGTACTGTGGTTTAAACTCAGGGCCTCAAAACACTTGCTCTGCTTGGTTGCTCAGCTGGAGCTCTTATTACTTGAGCCACACCTCCAGACCTAATTTTTGCTGGGTTAGCTTTGAACTGTCATCCTCTGGGTATCAGCCTCCTTAGTAGTTAAGATTATAGTTGTGAGCTACTTATGCCCAGCTAAACTATCATTTTGTAAGGTTGTCCATCATTGCTTTTTTTTTTTTTTTGCCAGTCCTGGGGCTTGAACTCAGGGCCTGGGCACTGTCCTTAAGCTTCTTTTGTTCAAGACTAGCACTCTACCACAGTGGCCACAGTGCCACTTGCAGCTTTTTCTGTGTATGTGGTAATGAGGAATCAAACCCAGAGCATCATGCGTGCTAGGTAAGCACTCTACCACTAAGCCATGCTCCCTGCCCCTCTCATTCCTCTAACCAGGACCAGACAGAGTCTGCTGAGATTCCCATTGAAGCTGACCAGTACCAAACAAAGCGAAAGCTTCCTCAGGTGGAAGACAAAAAGGAGAAAGAACATCAAGTTGCAAGCTATTCAAGAAGAAAACATGGCAAAAGAACAGGTGCCCAAGGAAAAAACAGAATGGAGTATCTGAGCCGGAATATCTTAAATGGCAATACACTGCAGGTAATGCTTTTGAAACCCTGGCGGTTGTTCTCCAGGGTTGAAACAGAATCATAGCTATTTGTAATCAACACAATTTGACCCATTTTATTTCACTGTAACTTAACTCAGTATATTATATACTCTATAATCTATGCTTAGAAACAAGATTTTTCCCCCCCTGGTCCTGGGGCTTGAATTCAAGGCATTATACTCCTGCTTAGCCTTTATATTCAAGGCTGGCACTCTAACACTTAAACTGATAAGGAAAACCTGCCCTTATCAGCACTAGCTCAACCTCATATTGCTAGAATTACCTTGCAAGTAATTTCTGAGAAACTGTAATCATTGAAGCAAGCCAAAACTCAAAACACCTATGCTCTACCTGGGACTTATACCTGGAATTCAAGTATTAAAGGACTGTACTCCCAGTCCATAAGGGCTCAGACTTAGTAGTAGAATCTCCTCTGGGTCCACTTGACATAATAAACCTGAATTCTCCAACTCTCCTAGTGCTGCCTGTTTCTTCGCAGAATATTTTCCACTACAAAACCACATACCTTCTTCCCGCTGGCTAATTGGAGATAAATGTCTCTTGAATTTGTCCTTCCAGGTTGGCTTCAAATCAGATTCCTCAGATCTCAGTCTCTTGAGTAGCTAGGATTACAATTGTGAGACACTGGAAGCCAGCTTTTAAAAACAATACTTTTTTAACATTTTAAATTATTATTATCTTTTTTTGGGGGGTCCAGTCATGGGGCCTGAACTCTGGGCCTGGGCGCTGTCCCTCAGCTCTTCAGCTCAAGGCTAGCGCTCTACCACTTGAGCCACAGCACCACTTCCGGCTTTTTTCTTTTTGCTTATGTGGTGCTGAGGAATCGAACCCAGGGTCTCAGGCATGCAAGGCAAGCACTCTACCACTAAGCCAACTTCCCAGCGCCAAATTATTATTATCTTTAAGTAGTTGTACAAAGAAGTTCCCATTCTACAAAACAGTATAATGAATACAAGGTGTGTGACAATATTGTCACCCATCGCTCCTAACCCATCCCTTCTCTCACTTTAAGAGCAATGCATTTTCAAAATTAAAGAGAGATAGCTCTAAGAGTGAACAAAGGATGAGAGACAATGGAGATAATGCTACTTATGTGTCCTATGGTGGTTGTTTGTGTTCTGAAGCAGGTGAACTACACAGAGTGGAAGTTCTCAGGGCTGCCCACTGAGGATGGTTTTAAAACACACGCAGAGGAAACAGAAGGAGAAGAGGAAGAGGAAGATGCAGAAGCAGAGGAAGAAGAGGAGGAGGAAGAGGAAGAGGCAGAGGAAGAGGCAGGGGCAGAGGTAGATGCAGAGGCAGAGGCGGAGGCAGAGGTGGAGGAGCCAATGAAAGAGGCAGTGGAAGAGCAAGGGACATTTTCTGAATCAATACTGGAAGGAGATGACCTCCCATATCCTATAAATGGTATTGTCTTCCTAAAGTCTCTTTTTTCTATTCATTTAATAGTTTTAGAAAGGTAATTATTTAATATTTCAGTGCTGAACAGTTCATAGGAAAATCAATATGAAAGCTCCAGAGCTTTCTTGTGTTAGAAGTGTGAAAGAGGGAGGAGGTTTGGGGGGGGTGGGAGGGAGGATGGGAAGGGATGGGAAGGGGAGGGGAAACAAAGGAGGAGGCTACAATGCTTGATACGAAATGTACTCATTATCTTGCCCATGTAATTGTAACCCCTCTGTACAGTATTTTCACAATAAAAAAAATGAAAAAAAAAGAAGTATGAAAGCTAGGCCAACCAGTTCTGCAATTCTCAAGTAACTTTCTATGTAGTTATAACTAGCTGGCTAGCTTAGTTGCCTTTCACTAGGAAGAATAAGAAAAATGTTTATTTTTTTCCAAGGTCTTGTAAGTTATGGTTACAAGGAAATAGGAGCAGGGTGATTGTCTCATTTGTCAAGCTAATTCAAATTTCTTTTAAGTTCAAGCATTGTCTTAGTGTTAGAATAAAAACAGACATGATTTCAGGTTATCATAATGGCAAACTAGGTAATTCAGACCAACTCTTTCTTTAATGGCAATTAAGAAACTAGAGTAAATTTGTGTGTGTGTGTGTGTGTATGTGTGTATGAATACTGAGGCTTCAACTCAGGGCTTGGGTACTGTCCCTTTGCTATTTGTGCTCAAGGATAGGACTCTACCACTTGAGCCATATCTCTTCCCCCTGGACTTTAATTGGAGATAGGAATCTAACAGTCTTCCCTACCTGGACTGGCCTTGAACCATGATCCTCATATCTCAGCCTCCTGAGTAGTTTAGATTACAGGCATGAGCCAACAGCCTTCAGCCGCACTGTATACTTTTGGTTGAAGCAGTCCCCTCATGTCATGGATCCACTTCAGCTTTATGGGAGGAAACATAGAACTCAGTCTTCAGTAGCAGTGTGGAGGTCATGCTGTGAGAAGAGCCATGTAGATGGAAAATACTGTTTGAGGCAATCATTGGAAAATATAGTTCCACACTCAATTGTACTCCTTTTCCTCAGCTTGGTCATTTCCTTCCCATACCTCTACAAAGGCCAGGCAGCCGTGTTCCTTTCTCCCTTCCTCTCCTTCCTGCCTTCCCCCTGATCCTTGCCTTTATTTCTGTCTTCTGTACTGTCCCCTCCTTTCCTCCTTCAATCTCTCTCTCTCCTTCTCCTCCCCCCCTTTTCTTCCCCATTTCTTCTGTTCTTCCTTCATGTTCTTTCTTTTTTTTTAGAAATGAATCCTGTGTTGGCAAGTTCTGAATAAGTGAATCATTTGACCCTTCAGGTTTGATTCTTGAAGAACAGATACTGAGATCTAGTGATCAGATTGGAGGTGTGGGTGCTGGCTCTCTTCCTGGGCTAGACAGAATGCTTTGTGAGTTGGTAATTCAGCCTCTTCTCCAGCAGATCAAGAATCCTTTGAACAAGCTTCTGAAGTCAGTGAACAAGCTACAGACAGCGATGACATCATAGTGGCACCTATATCTGAGAAATGTCCTAAGCCAGTAAGTACACAGGAATAATCTTGCATATGAAACAAAACAATGAATAATGACAGCACACTATGGCCATGAGTGTGGTTAAGGGAGAGCAGCAGATCCTGAGTGGTGCACACGCATGCACACGCACGCACACACACACACACACACACACACACAAAGAGAGTTGCCAGTGTGTCATGCCTATAATTGTAACTACACAGGAAGCTGAGATATGAGGATTGCCATTCAAAGCTAGCCTGGGCAGAAAAATCCCCATGAGACTCTTGTCTCCAATCAACCACTCAAAAAAGTGGCACTGTGAGTCAAGTAGTAGAGCACTAACCTTGAGCCCAAAGAGGCTTGGGGACAGTGCCCAGGCCTTGAGTTCAAGCCCCATAACCAACAGAAGAGAGAAGGGGGGGGGGAGAGAGATAGACCTTGGTGGCTCACACCTGTAATCCTAGCTACTCAGGAGGTTGGGATCTGAGGATTGCCTTTGGAAGCCAGCCCAGGGAAGAAAGTCTGTGAGACTCTTACCTCCTACTAAGCACCAAAAAAGCCAGAAGTAGAAGTGTGACCCAAATGGTAGAGCACTAGCCTTGGGCAAATAAAGCTCAGAGACAGTGCTCAGGCCCTGAGTTCAAGCTCCAGGACTGAAAAATAAAGAAACAACTTTATTTCTAAGGTTGCCATGCCCATGGGATGTACATTTCTTGTGTTATCTTTAATCCAGTACTGGGGTTTGACCCTAGGGCCTTCCCTTACTTGCTGGGCAAGATTTCTACCAATTGAGCTATATCCCAGTCCTTTTGCTTTTAGTGTGTTTTTCATATAGTCTCACTACTGTCCAGGTTGGCCTCAAACTACAGTCCTCCTACCTCTGCCTCTAAAGGTTGTAATACCACATTCAGCTTCCTTCCTTCCTTCCTTTCCTTTCCTTTAAAATTTTTTTTTGCCAATCCTGGGGATTGAACTCAGGGTCTAGGCACTGTCCCTGAGCTTCTTTTGCTCAAGACTAGTGCTCTATCACTTTAGCCACAGCTCCACTTCCAGCTTTTTCTGTGATTAATTGGAGATAAATCGTGTACTTTTGTTCCCGAGCTGTCTTCAAACCATGATCCTCAGATCTCAGCCTCCTGATTAGCCAGGACTACAGGCGCAAGCCACTAGCACCTGCCTTCCCTCCCTCCTCCCCCGCCTCCCTGTCTGTCTGTCTTCTCTTTCTTTTCTTTTCTTTTTGGTCAGGTTGTGCGGCCTGAACTCTGGGCCTGGGCAGTGTCCTTCAGCTCTTCAGCTCAAGACTAGCACTCTACCACTTGAGCCACAGCACCACTTCTGGCTTTTTCTGCTTATGTGGTACTGAGGAATCAAACCCAGGACCTCATGCATGCAAAGGCAAGCACTCTACCACTCAGCCACCTTCCCAGCTCCTTTCTCTTTCTCTTTTGTTGGTCATAGGGCTTGGGGCCTGGGTGCTGTCCCTGAGTTTTTGTGCTCAAGACTAGTGCTCTACTAGTTTGAGCCACAGCATCACTTCTAGTTATCTGGTGGTTTATTGGAGATAAGAGTGTCACAGACTTTCTTGCCTGGGCTGGCTTTGAACCACAATCCTCATATCTTCACTTCCTGAGTAGCTAGGATTACAGGTGTGAGCCAGTGCTAAAGCTTGAGTACAATTCCTCTTGGACAATGTTATCCTTTCCTTCACTTTCCTCCAGTTTTCCCCTCCTGTTTCTGTTCACAAGTTACATAATTTATTTTTCAAATAGTGCATATTGAATAACATGACTGCATTTGTTCACCCTCCTTTCCTCCATTCCTGTTCCCTTTTTTGCCCCCCTAAAACACACCAATCCCCCCAAAAACATGAACCACAAACATTAACTACATTAAAATAACAACAACAAATGTGGGGGCTAGGAATGTGGTTCAGTGGTAGAGTGCTTGCCTAGCATGCATGAGGCCCTGGGTTAGATTCCTTAGTACCACAAAAGCAGAAAAAACTGGAAGAGGTGTGTGGCTCAAGTGGTAGAGTGCTAGCCTTGAGCAAAAGAAGCTCAGAGACAGTGTCCAGGCCCTGAGTTCAAGCCCCAGAACTAGCAATAAATAAATACATAAAAAACAAATATGTTTCCATTTCCTTGAATTCATTTTGATAAATAGTATTTATATGGTCATAGGAGTTACCCTGTTGGGCTCCTCCTCTAAGAGTATCCTCCTTTAGTCTATTTGTGAATGCCTAGAATCCTGTATAATTTATCATGTCCTGGTACATTTTTAGAACTATCTTCTGCATATGAGAGAGAACATGTCTTTTTGACCTTGGCTTACCTTACTTAGTATGATTTGTTCTAGGTCCATCCATTTCCCTGCAAATGACATAATCCTGATACTCCCCCCCTGTTAGACTAACCATTGTCCAAGGAACCCAGAAAATGTAACGTGTGGGACTCAACTACAATATGTATACAACAGAACAGGAGAAGGAGGACTGGATACAGGAGCAGATGGACTAGTGGCAGTGCAGAAAGATCTAATAGGACGGTGCCATGAAGATCCCAGGCAGAGGAGTTAAAACTTAATCTCTTAGTAGTGAGTGTATTACTGTGGCTAAATACCTGGAAGAAATCACCTAAAAGAGGAAGTACTTGTTTTGGTTCATATTTTCAGAGGTATCAGTCCATCATGGTAGAGAGAACATGGTGAAGCCAAGCAGTTTGCCTAATGACTGCTAGAAGCAGAGGAAATGAATACAGGAAAGATCCAGGGGAAGATACAGTTCCAAGGACACCCTGCACACCTGCCTCCTCCAACTAGGCCCAACTCCTACCTTTTACTTCCTTCCAATTGTTATCATATTACAAATCCATCAAAGAAAGGATTGATCCATTTATTAGGGCAGAATCCTCAGAATCTAATAGTCTTAGGGGCCCTCACAGACATACCACATGCATGCCTTACTGATGTACTAGCTGTTTCTCAGGCCAGTCAAGTTAGCAGTCAAGTTTCAACATCACAATTAGCCACTGAAATGGAAGAGTTTTTGTCTAGGTAAGAGACAAACTAACTGATAACCAGGGGGCTGAAGGTGTGGAGTTTGAGTAACACTTAAGAAGTAGATGCAGCTGGGCACTGATGGCTCACACTTGTAATTCTAGCTACTCAGGAGACTAAGATCTGAGGATTGTGCTCAAAGCCAGCCTGGGAAGAAAAATCCTGGAGACTTTTTTTCCCCTTGGAGACTCTTATCTCCAATAAATGACTCAGAAAACCCTGGAAGTAGTGCTGTAGCTCAAGTGGTAGGGGATTAGCCTTGAGAACAAAGAGGCTCAGGGAAAATGCCCAAACCCTGAGTTCAAGCTTCAGGACAGGACTGGCAGAAAAAAGTCAGCCTGGGTAGGAAAGTGTGTAAGACTCTTTTTTTTTTTTCTTTTTGGTCGGTCCTGGGGCCTGAACTCTGGGCCTGGGTGCTGTCCCTCAGCTCTTCAGCTCAAGGCAAGTGCCCTACCAGTTGAGCCACGGCACCACTTCCAACTTTTTCTGCTTATGTGGTGCTGAGGAATCGAACCCAGGGCTTCATGCATGCAAGGCAAGCACTCTACCATTGAGCCACCTTCCCAGTCCCTGTATAAGACTCTTATATCCATTTAACCATCCCCTAAAAAAAAAGCTAGAAGTATGGCTGAAAATGTAGCTTAGCGGTAGAGTATTTGCCTAGCATGCATGAAGCCCTGGGTTTGATTCCTCACTACCACATAAACAAAAAAAGGCCAGAAGTGGCACTGTGACTCAAGTGGTAGAGCACTTGAGCCACAGAAGCAAAAGAAAATCAAGGACAGTGCTTAGGCCCCAAGGAACAGAGGCCAGACTTTGAGTTTAAGCCCCAGTACTGGCAATAAATAAATAAATACTTGGTTGTTCTATCAATATCACAGCCTCGCACAAAATAAGTACTGAATAAATGACAGTTGCTGAAAATATATAAAACTAATAATTACAAAATTGTGTGGAAGACCTCTTTGAGATGACAAAAGTGTTCTGTACCCTGAATAGGATGTGGATTATACAACTATGAACATTCAGCAAGACTGTATACTTAAGGTCTCCATGGTACTGTATGTAAAATATATCTAAATGTTTAATAATTAAAAGCAGAGCTACAGAAACCACTTCAGACAGTCTGATATAATGTGTTTGGTACTTTTCCTATGACAACCACTATAATAAATCCAACTCTATCTTGTGCCAGTACACTCATATATAAACAAAAGTTTTCACAAACAAGCCCTACCCCTATCACTGGCCATGTAGTCTCCTAATCTTTTCCACTCTGCTATTCTGTTGTCATCTACCCTAACCTTCATCAAGCTACTTTACCCTTCCCTCCCTCCCTCCCTCCCTCCTTTCTTTTTTTTCTCTTTCCTTCCTTCTCTCTTTTTCTTTTTCACTATCGTTGAGGACTTCCTGCACTCTCTTGGCTTTTTTTTTTGATCGTGGAACTTGAACTCTGGGCCTGGGCACTGCCCTCAGCTCTTCAGCTCAAGGCTAGTGCTCTAACCACTTGAGCCTCAGTGCCACTTCTGGTTTTCTAGTGGATTATAGGAGATAAGAGTCCCATGGAGGGGCTGGGAAGGTGGCTCAGTGGTAAAGCGCTTGCCTTGCATGCATGAGGCCCTGAGTTCGATTCCTCACCACTGCATAAACAAAAAGAAAAAAGCTGTAAGTGGCGCTGTGGCTCAAGTGGTAGAGCGCTAGCCTTGAGCTGAAGAGCTGAGGGACAGCGCCCAGGCCCAGAGTTCAGGCCCTACGACTGGACCCCCCTCCCCCCCAGAAAAAAAGAGTCCCATGGACTTTCTTGCCTGGGCTGGCTTTGAACTGCAACCCTCAGATCTCAGCCTCCTGAGTAGCTAGGATTATAGGTGTGAGCCACCAGTGCTTCTCTTGGCTTTTTTTTTTTTTTTAACCAATGCTGGACCTGAACCACTTTAGTGACACCTCTACTTCCAGCTTTTTGCTGGCTAATTGGAGATAAGAGTCTCATAGACTTTACTGCCTAGGCTTTCTTCAAATGGGGGTCCTTAGCTCTCAAGCTTCCTAGGTAGCTAAGATTGCAGGCATGAGATGCTGGCTCCCACTGATTCTTCATTTTGAAAATGGCAGTGAACCTGCTAAGCTGATTCATCAAAGTGCCAAAATCCATATTTTGGAACAATAGAGTTTGTGGTTTGGTATATATGAGTTGTGTGTGTGTGTATCTTGTGGTGGTTACTGAGAGGAAAACACTAAATATCTTCATTACGAAACATCATCTTACCCAGATGACACAGATGCAGGTTCCTTGGCACATTTTTGCCTGCTGAAGCACTTACAATGAGACAAAAGATTGATGGGAGTGCTTGGGCAAGTCAGAGCACTGTCTTAACCACCTATAAAAATGGCAGGAGGGCACCCATAGATAAAGGGGAATCGGGATTGACAGGACATCACTGTAGACTGCTATCTCAATAAGGATAGAGGGACAATCCAAAGAGAGCAGTGGTAGTGGAAGTAGTTCTAAGTGCCTCCCATCACTGGAGGGCAAGGTACCTTGGTGGGCTTCCCTTGGGCATTCACTGAGGGGGGTAAAAGCAGCCTCTAGAAGTGGAGAGTTGGTTTTTCACTGAGAAAGGTGGAAAAGAGTCAGTTTTTCAGAAATCTAGATTCTTCCTATTCTTAGAGATCATCTTAAAAAGCGGATTTGAAGCCAATCTCTGGTGACTCACACCTGTAATCCTAGCTATTCAAGAGACTGAAAGCTGAAAATCAAGGTTTAAAGCCAGCCCTAGCAGGCAAGTTTGTGGGATTCTTAGCTCCAGTGAACCACCAAAAAGCTGAAAGTGGAGCTGCAGCTCAAGTGGTAGAGCACTAGCCTTGAGCAAACTAAGGGACAGCACCCAGGCCCTGATTCAAGCCCCTATACACAGAAAAGATAGGACAAGAAAGACTGATATGATTCTGTCTCTGAGGGACAGAAACTGGATTCCTCTTGCACATTTCCCACAGACTTGCTGGTAATTCAGGCACATAGTCTTCTGGCGTCAGTTTTGTCAACAAATGAATTCTTAAATATTTACATTAGCCTATTTATAGGAAGTCTTATGCTCATTAGATGGAGTATGAACTCTTAGAGCCTCATTAACATTTAGGAAATATTTTATTATCTATCAGGAATCAGAGAAGATGCGTATTGAAATTGTTTCCCTGGCCTTCTACCCAGAGGCTGAAGTGATGTCTGATGAGAATGTAAAGCAGGTGTATGTGGAGTACAAATTTTATGACCTGCCCTTGTCGGAGACGGAGACTCCAATGTCGCTGAGGAAACCTAGAGCAGGGGAGGAAATCCACTTCCACTTCAGCAAGGGTGAGACGTCCTGTGTGCTTGCCACCAGAGGAAGTGGACAACCACTTCACCGTCAGAACTATTCTAAGTTCCCCTTGAGGGCAAAACCAGCCAATCTTAGCTAACAAATAGTATATGCATGTAATTTAAGAGGTAATTTTTTTGGGGGGGTCCGGTCGTGGGGCCTGAACTCTGGGCCTGGGCGCTGTCCCTCAGCTCTTCAGCTCAAGGCTAGTGTTCTACCACTTGAGCCACAGCACCACTTCTGTCTTTTTTCTTATGTGGTGCTGAAGAATCGAACCCAGGGCCTCAGGCATGCAAGGCAAGCGCTCTACCACTGAGCCACCTTCCCAGCCCTATGCATGTATTTTAACAATATCAAATAGGCTTAGAAAATTTTAATAACAAGTACTCCTTTGCTCTATTTCTCCACAAGCCACTCCTTCTAGCTCCACTCCTTGAGTCCACCATAACTGCTTTTTTAAGCTTTTCAGACCTTTTTGTTGTTTTTGTTTTGTATTTATCTCCATATATTAAGGCTGGTGCTTTACCACTTAAGCCACAGCTCCACTTCTAGTTTTTTGCTGGATAATTAGAGATAAGAACCTCACAGACTTTTATGTCTGGGCTGGCTTTAAACCATGAGCCTCAGCTCTTAACCTCTTGATTAGCTAGAATTATACGTGTGAACCACCAGAGCCTGACTGACTCACTTGCTTCCTGCTTTTCCTTCGTTCCTTCCTTTTCTCTCTCTCCCTTACTCTTTCCTTCTTTTTTCCTTGCTTGCTGGTTTTTGGGAGATTTCCTGCCCAAAATATATTTTTAATTTCTTGCTTTTTCCCCCCTTGCCTTTTTTGTTCATTTTCTCTCCCCCCATCCTCTCTGTATGTGTGTGTGTGTGTCTGTGTAACAAGATTTCACTAGCCCAAGCTGGCCTAAAACTTGAGATCTTCCTACTTTGCCTGTTTCATCATACTTGGCTTGCTAAATGTCAGTTTACTCTCTCTTGAGCTGTGAGATAGAAGTCAATTTCTTATGATAGGATGAACAGTCAAGGGTGGTACCTGCACTTATCTCATCTGTCTTCCATCTTTGTAGTCTTTAAGGACTGTAAGGGCTACTGTCTTCATGAAGGTTCCACATCACACAATGAACAGAACTTAACAGACAGCTATCTAAAAGGGAGGTGGGAAAGCACAAGCTGCAACATTCCCATATAAAAATGAGCACAAAGAGAAGCATTGATATTGAGATGTGTGCCCTGAGTTGAACTCATCACAAAACCTTAACCTTCAGGTTGGCCCTTAAGTATTAAGTTTCTAGCTGGGTGCTGATGGCCCATGACTGTAATCCTAGCTACTCAGGAAGATTTGAGGGTCATGGTTCAAAGACAGTTTGGCTGTGCTTATTTCCAATTAACCAACAAAAAGCTGGAAATAGAGTTGTAGCTCAAGTGCTAGCCTTGAGCAAAAAGAGCTAAATGAGAGAATGAGGCCAAATCCAAGCGGCACACACACACACACTTATTTTGGCAGAACTTAGTAAGCTGACTATATGTATGCAGATTATAATGCTTCCCCTTTTCCTTTTTGTGTGCCCGTTGAACTCAGGGCCTGGGTGTTGTCCCTAAGTTTTTGTGCTGAAGGCTAGCATTTTACCAGTTGAGCCCCAGCTCCACCTTTGGCTTTTTTGGTGTTTAACAGTAAAAAAGTCTCATGGACTTTCCTGCCTGGACTAGTTTCAAAACGATGATCCTCAGATCTCAGCCTCCTGAGTAGCTAGCTAGCATTACAGGTGTGAATCACCAGTGTCCGGCTTTTATAACCTTTTTCTTTTTTGTGCCAGTCCTGGAGCTTGAACTCAGGGTCTAGGCACTATCCCAGAGCTTTTATGTGGAGCCCCAGCTCCACTTCTGACCGCTTTGTAGTTAACTGCAGGTAAGAATCTCATGGACTTACCAGCCTGGACTGGGTTCAAACCATGATCCTCAGATCTCATCCTCCTAGCTAGGATTACAGACTTGAGTCATTAGAGCCTGTCTATAACAAATGTTTTCTTAGGAATCTAAATAGTTGAGGTTTTCTGTAGGTCAGTATGTCATGTCTCTGTTCAGTTCTGCCATTGCACTGCATTTCAAAAGCAGCTATAGGCTGAAGGTGTAGGTAGGCAGTCGAGTGTAGGGTTAGCATATGCAAGACCCTAGCTTCAATTCCAGCACTAAATCAAATGATAGCTACAGATATATGCAGATAGACATAGCGATTTTCAATAAAACTTTATTTATAAAAGCAGAGAGCCAGCCTATAGGCCTAATTTGCTAACTTCTGCATTGTATCTCTGTTTTCTATATTCATAGTGTCCAAATAGCCACCGCTTGTGATTCCTTGCTTTTTTTTCCTTCTTATTTTTGGAACAGTGATAGACTTGGATCCTGTGGAGCAACAAGGCCGACGGCAGTTTCTGTTTGCTATGCTGAATGCCCAAGACCCTGAGCAAGGACAGTAAGCATCCAGTTTTTACCTAGAAGGGAGATTGTCATGGGGAGGTTAAAAGTGCAAATTTAGTTTTGTTCTAATGCTGAATATTTTAGTGAGTGAATGTGTGTGAGTGTGTGTCTGTACAGGGGTTTGAACTCAGGGCTTGGGCACTGCTCTTTAGCTTTTTCAATCAAGGCTGACAGCTCTATCACTTGAGCTACAGATCAATTTCCAGCTTTTTTTGGAAATAAAGAGTCTCACAGACTTTCCCAGACTGGATTCACAAACCAAGACCAGATTTCAGCCTCCTGTGTAGCTTGGACTATAGGCATGAGCCATCAGCACCCAGCCACAAGATTTTATTGAGGTCTTAGGACATGAAGTGGGTTAGTGTTAAACTAGATGATGTGTTAACTTTCAGTTACCTATGTTTAGCTAGATATAAATTTACCTTTAGAAATGGAAAATGATTTGGTCATTTGCTTTGTATTCTAAATTGTTTTCAGCATTCCTAGTACTTTCGTGGTAATGACACAGAAATACATCATGAATGAATATGGCGTAACGGGGAGATCTTATAATAATTTCTTTCGCTTATCTGTGCTTTAAGAGGCCGACTTAATAGTCCATTTCTTGCTTTCTTAGCATGTAAGCAGCAATTTTTTAAAATAAATTATTAAATATTGGGCTGGGCACTGGTGGCTCACATCTGTAATCCTAGTTACTCAGAAGGAAAAATGTTAATTCAAATTGTTATTAATTTCCTATCAAACTGGCAAAGACATTAAAGGAAATAACTCAGTATTGGTAAAGGCATGGGCAACTGGGTGTAGTGCACAACTGCAATCTCAGCATTCAGGAAATAGAATCAGGAAGATGTTGAGTTCAAGGATAGTTTGAGTTATAACTACTCAGCCTGCTGAGTAGTTGTATCTGAATTTCCTGGTTCAAAGCTAGCTCAGGTAGAAAAGTATGAGACTCTTATCTCCAATGAATCACCAAAAAAAACCAGAAGTGGAACTATGGCTCACACAGCCTTGAGCAAAAATGAGCTCAGGAGACAGGCACCAGTGGCTCACACCTGTAATCCTAGCTACTCAGGAGGCTGAGATTTGAGGATAATGATTCAAAGCCAGCCCAGGCAGAAAAGTCCCATAAGCCAACTTTTTTGGGTCAGTTGTGGGGCTTGAACTCAGAGCCTGGACTGTATTACTGAGCTCTTTTGCTCAAGGCCATGGCTCCACTTCCAGTTTTTGAGACCTTAATTTGGAGAGAAGAGTTTCATGGTGACTTTTCTGCCTGCCTTCGAACTGATTCTCAGATCTCAGCCTCCTGAGTAGCTAGGATTACAGGCATGAGCCACTGCACCTGGCTCCACTTAACCCTTCTGCGGCTCTATGGATCAAAGTGGTACAGCACTAGACTTGAACAAAAGCTCAGGCCCAGGCCGAGTTCAGACCCCATGACCGACTTTCCCCCTTACCTGCTCCCCCCTCCAAAGTTGGGTATGGTGATGTTTATAATTCGAGCACTTTGGGAGACAAAGGCAGGAGGGTCATGTTAAGAGTTTGAGGCCAGTGAGAGCCTGCTTCAGTTAGCTAATCAATCAACCAGTCATAGAAATATAAAATACCCAGGATATGCAAAACCAGAGTCAGGAAGTTAAGGTAGATTGGGGATTTAGCACAGTGGAAGAGTATTTGCCTAACAAGTACAAGCTCCTGAGTTTGATCCTCACACTCATTATTAAAAAAGTCAATTAGTGGTTGCTAGGAGCAAAGACAGGACAGGTATTCTTTTGGGAGGTGATAGTAGCATATGTAATCATACTAAAAGACGCTAAATTGTACATTGTAAAATGTCAAAACTTGTGAATTTTATCTAAAAACAATAGGTTCCTGGTAAAGTGGCACATACCTATCTGCAGGTCCCAGCTACTGAGGTGGGAGGCCAGCATGGCTATTATAGTCAGACTCTGTCTCAATAACATCAACCACTTACTAGGATTGCTATAGGTTGTATCAGCTCCTAGAATTAACTTGCAAGGTTATGTGATGATAGGCTTGTTACTGCACACTGCTTTGTAGGCATCACTGTGCCTTACAGCATCATTCAAGATCTACAACTCCAAGCTCTTTTCTTTTTTTTTCTATTGAGTCAGGTTCTCAAGTATGTACTCAAGGCTGACTTCAAACTCAAAAATTCCCCTGCCTTGGTCTCTTAAACACTAAAATTATATGCACCATCATGCCTGGCTTGTTCTCTCTTCTTAAGGTTCATATAAAATAGAAGCAAAGGAAAGATGACTTAAGAGTGCATTATTTCTTTTAACCTTTGTTTTTAGAATATAAAGGTATTAGGGCTGGGAAGGTGGCTCAGTGGTAGAGTGCTTGCCTCACATGCATGAGGCCCTGGGTTTGATTCCTCAGCACCACATAAGCTGAAAAAGCCGGTGGCGATGTGGCTCAAGTGGTAGAGCGCTATCCTTGAGCTGAAGAGCTGAGGGACAGCGCCCAGGCCCAGAGTTCAGGCCCCACAACCGACAAAATAAATAAAATAAATTAAATAAAGGCATTAGTCTTGCTAAACAGATGTTTGTTATTTTTAGATTAAAATTTACAGTTGTAAGTGATCCTCTAGATGAAGAAAATGAAGAATGTCAAGAAGTAGGATATGCATATCTTGAGCTGTGGCAGGTCCTTGAATCAGGAAGAGACATTTTAGAACAAGAACTAGAGAGTAAGTAATAAAATGTTGTGTTTCTTCGTTCAACTGTATTTTTGGGGGTTTTTTTGGTTGTGGGGATTGAACTCAGGGCCTGATGCTGTCCTGTGTTCAAGTCTAGCGCTCTTCCACTTGCAACTCCACTTCCAGTTTTCTGGTAGTTAACTAGAGATATGAGTCTCATGGACTTTCCCACCTGGGCTAGCTCTGAACCATGATCCTTGTATCTCAGCTTCCTGAATAGCTAGGATTACAGTGTGAGCCACTGGTGCCTGATTCAATCAACCAATCTATTTGTTTATTTATTTATTGTTGGTCTTGAACTCTGGGCTTGAGCGCTGTCCCTATGCTCTTCAGCTCAAGGCTAGCGCTCTACCGCTTGAGCCTCAGTACCACTTTTGGTTTTCTGGTGGTTAAAATTGGAGATGAGTCTCACAGACTTTCCTGCCTGGCTTGTCTGAGAACAGATCTTCAGATCTCAGCCTCGTGAGTATCTAGGATTACAGATGTGAATTACGGGCTCCTGGTTCAATTTACCTTTTTTTTGGTCAGTCGTGGGGGCTGAACTCTGGGCCTGAGCATTGTCCCTCAGTTCTTCAGCTCAAAGCTACTGTCCTGCTTGAACCACAGCACCACTTTGGGCTTTTCTGCTTATGCGGTGCTGAAGAATCAAACCCAGGGCCTCATGCATGGGAGGCAACCACTGAGCCAACTTCCCAGCCCCTCAATTTACTTTTAAATATAGTTTTGAGTAGTTTTTGTTTTACCTTTTCCTTCTATATATAATTACCATTGGGAAGTTGATGGGACCAACTGGTTTGCAATCTTGCCGCCATAGCTAAATACATTTTAATCATCATACATCTTATTACAACTAAATCTTTTTTCCTTTTCTTTTAAAATGGCCAATCCTGGACCTTGAACTCAGGGCCTAATCTCTGTCCGAGCCTCTTTGTGCTCAAGCCACAGCAGCACTTCCAGCTTTTTCTGAGTAGTTTAAGTCTCATGGACATTTCTGCCCAGGCTGGCTTTGAGTCGTGATTCTCAGATCTCAGTCTCCTGAGTAGCTAGGATTATAGTTGTGAGCCACTGGTGCCCAGCTAACTAAATCTATTTTGAAGAGTTGTGGCTCAAGTGGTGGAGAACACGCCTTGAATGAAAAAGCTAAGGCACAGCACCTAGAACCTGAGTTCAAGCTCTAGTCCAACACATTTTACACACACAGATAAAAGAAATATCACAATAAAACCTCTTTATAGCTGGGAAAGTGGCTCAGTGGTAAAGTGCTTGCCTTGCATGCATGAGGCCCTGGGTTCAATTCCTCAACACCACATATGTAGAAAAAGGCAGAAGTGGTGCTGTGACTCAAGTGGTAGAGTGCTAACCTTGAGCTGAAGAACTGAGGGACAGCACCTAGGCCCAGAGTTCAAGCCCCATGACCAAAAAACCCCACCTCTTTATACAATATTCACTGAGATTTTTTTTAAAAAAAGCCAATTCTTTAAATTCCAAATTTAAAAATCAACATCTGACCTCTTAACCAGATAAGCCTTGTGAAAGCAGCTCAGACCCCTTCTTTATGTAGCCAGCCCCCAGACCCAAATAGGAATCAGTTCTCCTTCCCCCAAACTCAGCCGTTAACTACTTGTTTCTCGACTACATCCCCACTTCATTTGCAGTGTTTACTGAATCAAATTATTCTCCTGATCATAATACAGGTTTTTGAGTAGTACTGCTCAGATTACACACACCTTACAAAGGTTTAGTTGGTAGACTAAGTTGCAAGATTTTTCCAATTATCACCCTGAGAGCAAGTCCTCCTTGCTTTTATTCCACTATAAAATAGGGATAATCGCAGTAGAATCTATCTCATAAGGTAGCTGTACAGATTGAGGGGACACTTAATGTAGGGAAGACAAAGGGAAGCAAAGGGCCTAAAACAGTGGTAGGTGTTGGCTTTTCTAACTCATAATTTCTACCCCTGCCCTTGTCCCTAAATGTGCCCTATTTTTCTTGGCCACCATGCCTTCTTAGATAAGAGAAATCCCCACAAACTTTTTATAATGACTCAAAATCCTCAATGAATGCTTATTGACTTAATTATTAGAATAAAAAAGTTCTATTTCCTCATTATGCCCTTGCTCAGTGGAAGAGCACTTGCCAGTGTGTGTGAAGTCTTGGTGGGTTCAGTCTTCAACACTGAAAATTTAGGTCTCTCCTTTGAAGAAAAAAACTGCTTTCTAACCCAACAGGTGGTATCTCTTTCCACTTCTAAAGATAGCTCCTTAAAATACTTACAAATTCCTAAGTCTACAGAAGTCTCTTTTTTCTTTACCCTCTGCACCCTTACATTAAGATGGTTTCCATTCCAAGAATTTTATCTGTTCATACTTGTTTTCTTAATCCCCAAATCCAAGTTTGTTTGTTTTTTTACCAGTCCTGGGGCTTGAACTCAAGGCCTGGGCATTGTCCGGAGCTTCTTTTGCTCAAGGCTAGCACTCTACTACTTGCGTCACAATGCCACTTCTGGCTTTTTGTTTATATGGTACTAAGGAATTCAACCCAGGGCTTCACACATGCTAGGCAAGCATTCTACCACTAAGCCACATCCCCAGCCCCTCAATCTCTTTAAACTTCATCTTCTACATATTTACAACTACTTTTGTGGGACTACTTGTTTCCCTTTTGAATAAAACCCCTAAATTATGGAGCCATCTCTCCAGCTTCCAGTGTTACAGTTTGGATGTGATGTTCTCCCATTAAAATGCCATATTCCCAAGTGGTGATGGTATAGACAGGTGACTAGATCATAAGGGTGCTAAAATCCTTAATTTGGTTAGTTCCTATCTGAATGGAACCTAGATGGAGGAAGCAGGTCAACAGGCATGCATTGTTTAGTATCCCAAATATTACACCCATCAGGTATTAAATGATTAACTGAATGCTGCCACCTGATACTTCTTTTTCTTTTTCTCACCAGTTGTCAGCCCTGAAGACCAGGCTATTCCAATAGGAAAGTTGAAGGTTTCCCTTCAAGCAGCTGCTGCCCTCCATGATGTTTACAAGGAGATGAATGAAGATTTATTTCCCTGAAGGAACAAGTGCTATTCCATTCTAAAATCTGAGGGAAGAAGTCTCTTATAAAGTAACTTGCTATACTGTAAGTTTGGTTGACTGTGCTACCTAGTCTCTCTCAACATAATGATGAGAATTTTTGTAAAACTGTCTGGACTTCGAACACCTAGTACTGTTAATAGGTGAGACTTGCTTTTAGGAATGGAAAGTAAATAAAGTCACAAAAGGTGAATTTACAAAAACAAAACAAAAAAACCCAGTTTATTTATCTTTTAGTTTTTCCAAAATTGAAAATATCAAGTCCTACTGCTAAGGAGAAAACAAACAAACATAAAATCTGAGACCCCTCCCCACTTCTCTTAAAAGTCACAGAACATGGAAGTGCAGGGGGACAGGTGGGTGCTGAAAATAGCGGGGAAGGATGGTAGGATTAAAATTCCCCCAATTCTTAAAAAAGATGTTCAACAGAAACTGTGATAAATATCGGACAATGCAGGACAAGGAAAAATAAGGAGCAGCAGTGCTCAGAGTCTGTGTTGTAGGTATGGTCTCCCTTCCTCTTCTCTTTGCTCATCAAGGTATTCTAGGCCCAAGGCATGCTTTGCCCCTTCCAGATCTAAATATTGTCTCTTTTGAGCCTCCCTCTACATTTCACTTGAAGCACTTTGTGAGGCACAATTCTTCCTTAGACATATCAGAAAGGAGAGAGAGCAGTAATTTTGCCTTCTATAGTTACACCAAGCATGAATTTGTAAGGAGGAAAACAAGGAGCCAGGGAGTGTCACTGCTTCTTATGTCTTCCAAGGCAGCAGAAATACTTAGAATGTGCATGAGGCAAGAAACCAGGAAAACTCAAGATGAAGGCACCAGCCTCACTAGATTGTATAGTTGTATACAGGTCAAGTTGTATAGTTTACCACAATCATAAGCACATCTGAAGAACCTTTTCTCAAGTACTGCAAAGATGCAATGGAGAGAGACGTGAGGAAGGTCATGGCAGTAGGGTAGGATGGAGGACTGAACCTGCTGGTCAAGAACCTTGGTACAGGTAGTAAAGGATCACTATGTACCACTGTCTTGAAGAAACAGCTTTGAGACACCAAAGATAAGATGTCAGAAGCCATCAATGTCCTGGCAGAAGGTGACAGGAAAAGAGGAATGAACGGTATTTATTAACAGTGGGAGCCTCTGCCCTTCTTCAAGAACACCTCCTCCCTTGCCATCTGAATGGGGCCATTGGCACATGTCCTGGTGGGCCTGGAATTCCCCGAGTAGATTGGTCCACACAAATGGCCCCCTAAACCCATAAACACAAATGGCAAAACTTCAAAAGAAACAAGGAAAAACACAGTTTCTATGTCATGAAAAATTTTCAGGAGTTGCCTGGAGGAAGAATGGAGATCAGGACCAAAGTTCAGATATTACTTCCTCTTTTTCTTGGGGGGTGCAGAACTGTGTCTGGAACCACGGTTAGAGCCTCGGCCTGAACTGTGTACAGATGCCTTCCTCTTGCGGCTCATACTTCGACTCTGTTCTTCTTCTTCCTCATAACGACTTTCTCGGTCCGCTAAACAGAAGGCAGTGTCATCATTAATTTTAGTTAGCTAATATTACTGGATACCATGAAATAAATATTATAATTTATTTATTCAGACTTTTGTCTGTGTGGGGCTTGAACCTAGGGCCTGGGCACTGTGTTTCTGAGCTCTTTTGCTCAAGGCTAATACTTTATCACTTTGAGCCACAGTGCCACTTCTGGTATTCTGGTGGTTATTTGGAAATATGTCTCATGGGGACTTTTCTGATCAGGCTGGTTTTAAACCAGGATCCTCACCTCAGCCTCTTGAGTAGCTGGGATTACATGCCTGAGCAACCAGTGCTTAGCCAGATTTAAGTTTTAATTTGCTAGATATGTAAGCATTTCACCTTTCCAAATCTTAGTTTATTTAAAAGGGGAATTATTTAAGGAACAGAAAACATAATTTGCCTGGAGTACCTATCATAAATTTTAGAATTCAGCAAATATTTCCTTTTGTTTTGTCTGTTGTGGTGCTTGAACTCAGGGCCTGGGCACTATCCCTGAGCTCTTTTGCTCAAGGCTAGCGCTCTACTACTTGGAGCCACAGTGCCCCTTCTGGTTTTTGAGCGGTTAATTGGAGATAGAAGTCTCATGGACTTTCCTGCTTTGAACCTTGATCCTCAGAGCTCAGCCTCCTGAGCAGCTAGAATTACAGGCATGAACCACTAGTGCCTGGCAAATGTTTTCTTTTCATTTAAATTCCTTCCCAATCCTCTCCCCATACTAGAATGAATTCAGGGTCTTGTGCTCACTTGACTCTGCTTCACCACTGGAGTTCTACCCCTTGAGATATACCTCTAGTTGGGCTTTTTGCTGATTATTTTGGAGATAGAGCCTCTTGGACGTTTTACTGCCTGCTTAAAGTTGTTTCAAACCTCCACCTGCCAGGTCTTAGCCTCCTGGATAGCTAGGATTTCATGTGAGAGCAACAAGGGCAAGGTTTCATTTTAAACTTTATCTGGTGTTTGGTTTAAGAATAACTAGGTTAATCCTGTAAAAACATTCTTAATCCAGGTCTCATGATCATACATAGAGTACCTGAGTAGATAATCTAAGTAGCCAGTTAGAGAGAAGCCACACCCACATGAAGAGCATGTGCACATTCCAGGCTGTTTCCTTCCATCAATATATTAGCTGTGAAAATGGGTACTGTGGCTTAAGTGGTAGAGCACTAGCAAAAGAAGCTCAGGGACAGTGCTGAGACCCTGAGTTCAAGCTCCAGGACTGGCAAAAAACAAAACAAACAAACAAACAAACAACAAAAAACCATAAAAAGGGCCAGGCACTGGTGGCTTACGCCTGTAATCCTAGCTACTTAGGAGGCTGAGATCTGAGGATTGCGGTTCAAAGCCAGCTGGAGCAGGAAAGTCCACGAGATTCTCATCTCTAATTAACCACCAGAAAACCAAAGTGGTATTGTGGCTCAAGTGGTAGGTAGAGTACTCACCTCAAGCTGAAGAGCTCAGAGACAATGCCCAGGCCCAGAGTTCAAGCCCTTTGACCAACAAAAAACAAAAAACAAAAAGAACCCCCCCACCAAAGAAATACCCCCCCATATAAGTAGAGCTGTGACTCCAAAGCACTTTTACGTGTTCTTTTGTTATTTTCTATATACTTTCCAGTATAGATATGTGTTAGAAATTTGTACTTACATAAAAGAATAAATAGATCACTTAGAACAAGAAATTTTCAAACCTTTTCGGGCTTCTTCTTCCAGTTCATCCCAATCCTTTCCACTCTCTTCTTCACTACCCAAAGATTCCTTGGAATAGTCTGGAATGACAGTGATTACAAATTAGTCATAACAAGAATGGGATGACAAAATTTTTCCCTTAGAAAAACTAGTTTCTATAAAATTCTTGGATTAAGTTAGCCCTGATAGTTTCTTTTTTCCTATGTAAGCAAACCTGATTCTTCTGCTTCTGAAGAATAATCTTCATCACTGTCTTCCTCCTCTTCTTCATAATCATCCTCTGAAGGATTAAAAGTCTCATCTTCGATCTCAGACTCTGAATCTCCATCCTCGGCATCACTCCCCTAGTTCGAAAAAACAAAACAAAAATATATGCACCTTAACAAATTAATGAATTAATTTGACCCATTTTAGTACACCAAAACCAAAACCAAACAAAAAAACATAAAGACACCAGTGGCCAAGAGATAAAATGACTTGTATAGCTGAGTGCTGGTAGCTCAGGAGTATAAGCCAAGATATTCAAGAGGTTAAGATCCAAAGGACTACAGCTAGAAGTCAGTCAGGCTGAAGGCATGGCTCAAGTGGTAGACTACCAGCATAACAAGCGAGGCCTTAATACCAACCAAAAAAAAAAGCATAAACTACTAATAAGTTGGAGTTATTAGATCCTTGTGGAAAATTAATGACACACTTTGTAATAATGTACAATGCAAAGACGGGAGGACCTGTTTTTATTTATTTTTTAATATGCCCTAAATTATTATTTTTCTAAATAAGAAGAGCAATTTTTATAGTTTCAAAGCATCTCTGTTAAGGTCTACCAATGCCCAATTCGTCATTGATCTACAAAAATAAACTGAAGAAACAAAACCAAGCTGTGTTCACAGCTTCGTTTAGTTGGTCTGGTCTTTTTTTTTTCAAGGTAAACATAATAAATTTATTTGAAAATGAAAAAGTAAAGCTATGAAACAAAGTACAGAGACTCTCTATCAGGAGAGGGGTCCAAAGAGGAGACCCTGGTTTGATCATTTTTATGCTACTTACATATTCTCCTAGTTGCCCAGAGTATAGCAGGAAACACTGAAGAACAAAAAAGAAACCCCCACTCACGCACCTCACCCTCAGGTTCCAAAAAAGACCAGCCACCTTGCTCGAAGAAACCTTCAGGGTCATCAACAATGGTCTTCATGATTTTAGTCCAGTTGAGAGACTGCACTCCTTCTGTGTACTTTAGGTCACAGGAACTATAGTGATATAAAATGAAATCTGAATGCAATCTATATTTTCTAAGAATCTCTATTATCAACTTGATTATTAGCATCTTAGAAATGCAGATTATTTTGTAAAGGAGAATATTCTTCCCACTATGCCACCACAGCATGCCCAAAGACTGATATATCTGATCTCTCAGAACATTTAACCTTCATAACAGCACTTAATGCATTCATCCTTCAACCAAATATGAGCTCATCCTCTCTCTTCCTGCTTATCGCGATTCTGGTCTTTATCATGAGTAGTCTTAAAATATAACCATATCTGTGATACTCATGTCAGCTCTGATCATTTATAATTAAGAAATAGGAATAATTTCTACCAGCCCTAGCTTCCTCTCTTTTCCTAGGTCTTGTTTCTATGATGAAAGATTTATAAAGACAGAAGCACATTTTTTTTTCTTTTGTCAGCCCTAGGGCTTGAACTCAGTAGGCACTGTGACTGAGCTTCTTTTGCTCATGGCTAGCACTCTACACTTGAGCCACAGTAATACCTCCTGCCTTTTCTGTTTATGTGGTACTGAGGAATCAAATCCAGGGCTTCATGTATGCTAGCAAGCATAATACCATTAAGCCA